AAAAAAAAAAAAAAAAAAAGAAACCAAAACAACCCAAAAGTTTACATTGTGTCTCTGGGACCGATTTACAAGTGGGATGCACCTTTGGGGACAAGCGAATCTGGCCCCATTGTCTGTGGACATTTATATCCAGGACCAAGGACTGAAAAATCTTTATGATGGGAATTTCAATTACCCTTTTAGTTCGAGTTAGAGTTTTGATTTCAATTTTTTTTATTTTTTTAGTAAATGCACTGGCATTGGAACATAAATTTAATATAGAAATGTTTCTATACTATGCCTCACCATTGCACAATCGATTTTTTTGGCATACACTGTGGTGAAGTTGGACTTGCTGCTATGGAGACTGATGTTTAAAGTTTCTAATTGTATAAACATTTTCTATGTCCCCCACACCGTGGATTTCTTATAATATTGGCTATATTTTTCCTTGCTGGACTATTCTCTTTTGGATTGACTCCCCCTGTTTGGATTATTTCACTGCATTATCATCTTTAGGACTCGTCAGGAACAGGACATTTCACCTCAGGAGTACGGGTATGTACTTAAACGTTTTTTCAAATTACTAGGCCTAGCCTTGAAAAAAAAGAGAGAAATGCTAGAAGTGGAATATTTGAGTTCAAATCGCATCCTTGAGGCAGCAGCCAGGCGAATGTTGTAACACAAGGTGATAGCGATGAGATGGGCACAGACCTGTAACTCACTTCATGTGTTAGTCATCACTTGTTGCAGGAGGAGGCATGTGAGGCCTTCTAATTTATTTTTTATTTTTTCCCTCCCTGGTTTAAAGCAGTTAGGGCAGACTTTGGGAACTGCCTACCCTACGTGAGTAATTTCTGATCCAAAGGCAGGCTGAGGAGTTCTCAACAGAGTTTAGGAAACAGATGTTAGGGTTTCACTGACTCGAAAATGAGGAGTTTAAGAGTGGACAAACAAGAGTACTCCTTTTACAGATGGCAGATTTGCGACTGTGTGCCTACTAATTTGCTCAAGATAAGGGCTTGTCATCTTTGCCTTAAGGAAAAAATTGATTTTTTTTCTTTTTAAAAATCGGTATAGTAGCTGGTATGTGAGCTGTCCTGAGGGAAGAACACAGCTAAGAGTGAAGTACTTCAATTTCAAGCTGTGGTAAATCAAGCCCGTTAAAACATCTGTGAGAAGGTGGATGAGGGAGACCTCAGTAGTTTTACTTCATGTTAAATACCAAGCAACTTCACTTCTGTGGATTTACCTCAAGACATACTCATTTGTGCTACTTACCATGGGGTTAAAAAAAAAAAAAAAAAAAAAAGTTTGGTGGGTTTTTTTTTTAATTGGAGGCAGCCTTAGATTTTCTTCTGGACAGGCTGTGACTTGGGAGTGATACTTGCATCCACTTTGCACTGTGGTCAGCAATCCGAGCTCTGTGGGCAACAGGTCTTGGCGCTGAACAGCTTCTGCTGCCCCTCCACGTAACTGTATATTCACAGCACGGTGGTCAGCAGAATTCTCTGCTGGCAGCATTAAGCTAAAGCCTTTAATTTTGTCATTATAGGCCTCCTGTGAAAACTTTTTTGGTTTGTTTTGCAATAACCCGGCAGTAGAAATAAATTCTGCTCTTTTGGTACCTGGCTCTTTGACTCCCCGAGTCAGGATTCCCAGCCACACAAGTTAGTTAGCACAGCACGCACTGCAGCAAACCTGGGTGCTCCTGAGCCAGCTGGGCACCAAGGGGATAAAATTTCAGTCCCTGGAGAACTTAGCATTTGTGTTTGATTCTCATTCATGACAGCATATGTCTTTGGTTTAAAACCTACTTAAGGGAGTGCCTGTGCAAGTTCCTCATCTGCGATTAACTAGCATGTCATGCACTGATTTTTTTTTTTTTTTTTTTTTTTTCTTCTTCTTCTTCTTTCCCTTGGTGCTGTGTGGCTTGGGTTCACCTGCACTGGTGCAAAAGCATTTTGGATTAGCTCCATTTTTACCAAAAATGCTGGCATCAGAACTTAACACTTAACACTCACACCCACCCCACTCCCTTTTCCCCAGCCTGCGTATCACCCGCAACATAGCGAGACACAAGTGCTTGAGGAGGCCATCCAGGTCACGTACATGATTAACTCATATTTTGCTTTTGATGTAATGAAGAAAGGAGGATGGGGGTGTGATTAGTGGTGGGTAGAACCGTTCTTAGAGGTTTAAAACAAAGCTGCAGTGAAGAACTCCTTTTTGTAATCACTCAAGGTAAAAATCAGAGTAAAATAGTTAGTTCTCTTGACACAACTCTCAGCTGTCCTTACAAATACCAAATGTGCAGGAATTATCCTAATAAGCTTATCGGAATGACTTGCCAGAATAAGGTCACGGAAGGAGTAACTTGCAAATTAGAGCTAGACATTTCCTGCACCCCACCCGTGCTTTCCTTGTTGTTCTCCAAAGTTGAACAGCAGCCTCCATAGCAACAATCTGACCTGCTTGCCTGCAAAAGTCCATGTTAGTAAGGCTTCATTCACTAGCCAAAAAAAACCCAACCCAAAACAGTAGTGGGGCCTTATTCAATTTTTACATCCAGTGAATCCTGCTCATTTGACCCCTCCTTCCCACCTTCACTCCACCTCATATGCATGGCTGGTAGCACCTGTGTGTGTTTGTTATGATTTTTGAATGAGTTTCCCCTTTATTCTTAAAGTTGTTTTTCTGAGTGCGCTCTCATGAAGTCTCTTGCTGGCATTGCACCTTCACTCTAGTGCAAGACTTTGCAATTAACCCTTTCTCAACCCCAGGAACTGGATTTTCCCATCCTTACTGGAGGACTCTGATTAGCACAAACCACAAGTTTGTTCCAGCTTGTTGGGCAATGAAAGGTTTAATTGCTCTGACTTGCTTCTGGTCAGCAAAGAAAAGAAACATACCCAGACAACCTGTTTCTCCCTGTTTTTTGTTTTTTTAGGTCTTCCGGCCCCGCACTCCACCAGAAGCAATTGCGCTATGTAGCCGTCTGTTGGAGTACACCCCCACTGCCCGCCTGACTCCCCTGGAGGCCTGTGCGCACTCTTTCTTCGATGAACTACGGGACCCAAATGTCAAGTTACCAAATGGGCGAGAGAAACCTGCACTCTTCAATTTCACCACTCAAGGTAGCCTGTGAGCGTTGAAGGATCCCTTCTTTAGGAAGAAGCACTGGGATAAATGTTCGTTGTAATGTAAATGTCACTCCCTCAAAAGTAAAAAATCTCTGAGGACGGCTAAGGTTATTAAGCAGTTGCATAAGCAGCTGTCCGTTTCAAAAAGAGAGGAAAGGGACTTGGAGAGATGGGTTATGAGATTTTCAGGTGCCTGGTGCCTTCAATTCAAACTTAGTGCAGGGGACCGAGGGTTGTTACTATTGGATTGCGTCAAGAAGGCTTACGTTTGCAGTTCAATGTCTGTAACCTAACTGATGGTTTTGTGTGAAATATCACAGTCAGTGGACCATGGAGATTGAATTATCGTTTTGGAAATGATCCTGCTCCTTCATACCTGAAACGCCATAGCAAGGAGTAATGCATATTAGGTTTGGCAGGGAAGTTGTAGTGTTGCTGCCCATTTTGGTTCTGAATGTGAGATAAATACAGAGGCTTTCGTGTCCAGGTTTTATGTGCTATACAGTTCATCTGGCATTACATTGACTCAGTCATTTAGAAACTGTAAAAATGATGGACAACTAACTTTTTTATTTGAAGCCAGACTGGTATCAACTTTTAAAACCATTCATGTATTTTTTTTCCACAGAAGTCAGAAATGTAAAACTGATATCCCCCCTAGAACAGTTTTGCCTGCCAAGACACAAAATGTGAGAAGTATGGCACACAAATATGCTAGTAATTAATTTTGCAGCACTTTTTTTTTTTAAAGTGATTAGCTGCCAATTCTCACCCTTTGAGCAAGAATAGATCTGTGTGCATTTTCTGTTGAAAGTCTAAAACACCTTTTGGCTCAGCTAGCATCAATGTAATTTTTCAAACTCTGTAGTACCTGCAATGCCCATCTGCCAAAATGTGAAACGGAGCCCTCTCCTTCAACATGTGGAGCCCTTTTGGTAAAAAAAAAAAAAAAAAAAAAAAAAAAAAAAGGGCAGGGGGAGAGGGGCAAAAAGCTTTGTGTCTGTACAAAGTAGTATTTTAAGCTGCCTGGAAATAAACTTTTAACTTGTTTTGAGTGCCTGCCTTGCAGAGGGTAAATATATTGAATATAGTAAAACATTTCTGAAGCATGAACACCTTAAAGTGTTCAAGAAAATAGGTTGTGCTTCCAGGTCACTGTCCTCTGTGCTGATTCCTGCATCTGTTGTTATGAATTTAGTAGTTATGTTACAGGTCCTTCCTTGTTACAGTACTCATGAATTGCCTTTTCTTCCCACTGTAAGGCCATCTTCAGTAGCCAAGATAGTTTTGATCCCAGTATCTTAATACAGCTTCACCCCTGTTCTTTTTGAAAGTATTTCTTATTAATTGTTTCTTAATGATGTTAAGATTGGGCCTGTCTAGTGCATGAAAACAAGGATTTTAAAAAGTGTTAGAAAGCTCTATAATGAGTCTTTTCAAAAATCCTTAGGGGGGAAAAAAGTATGTTAAATGTATGTATTGGGAATGTGTCCCTGGTTTCCCCCCAGGGCAGTGTGGGAACTGCTGGGTAAGCTACCCTAATGCTCAAGCAAATTTAAAGCTCCTCTTTTGCCATCCTGAGGAGCTGATGTGCTCTCCCCTTGCACAGTGACTCATGGGAATGGCAAGAGAAGTCAGTTTCAGTGGAGTGATTTCCTTAAGATTCAAAAAAGCAGGTTTCTGTCATCAGCAGGTGCCAATTTCACCATCTAGAAAGGGAAGGCAGGACAGAGGCTGGTCATTAACCCATTTCTAAATAAGCTCTGTTGCAGATGACCACCCAAACTCAAAAAAATAACCAGAGCTTTTAGAATAAATAAATATATTGCTTAGCGCAGTGATTTTAAGACCTTTGTAATTAATAAATATGCAGCAGTGCGTCTCATGTAGCAGCAGTCCTGATTACGACCTCGAGATACACAAGAAGCTTTTGCTCCTCCTGTGACCACCGTGCAGTCCTTGCTCTTTAGCCAGACTGCAAGTCAAATTGGCTAGTCCAGAGCTGAAATCCCAACTGGGAAATAGAGCAGGTCATTGGAAATCAGATGATGACTCATGTTAAGTCATCTGTAGTAATTTAAAAAGTAATGAAAGACATCCTTTGGTTTGAATGGCATTTGTTTTCAACAGACAGTATTAAGTTTTAGAAGTGTTTTATTTGGCTATATCCAGTTACCTGAAACCCATGAAGTAGGAGGTAGCTGCAGAAGGCTTGAAGGCAAAACCATTTGAAAGAACAACATAAATCTGACCATTAACACACTGAATTGATTTTCAGAAAGAACCTAAGCATCATACCAAATCTGCTGATCTTGGGCACTGATGCTGCTCAGATACAGTCTAGAAAAAAAGCGGTGGGAGTATATGGAAGATAAAGATCATGCTCTTTGGCTGCCAGCAGTAGTTCTAGAGCATGTAGGTGCTTATGTTATTTTAGAGATGAGATCTGTTGAAGAGAGCTTTATCTGGTCATTCTTAATGTCTTGCCTGTAAGTTTCTCTTAGTATTTAAACAAATGTTATGTGCTAATTGGGGTTTGAAAAAATTATTTTGGCCAAAGAAGTATTTCCACTAGCCACAGAGTTGTAGTTTAGTGGCTGTTAGACCTACAAGACAGAAAGCATAGAAAGCAATTTTTCTCTTAGAAGCTGAATTTTCAATCAATCTGTGAGATGACTACCATTTCCTAAACTTCCTGTAGCATGTCGGTGATTGTGCTGGGTCACAAATGTTACTGTCACTCCATGTTGGCCATTAAAGACTGTAAAATTCTCCTGTGATTCAGCACTTAGGAATCATAGAATCATAGAATCATTAAGGTTGGAAAAGACCTCTAAGATCATCAAGTCCAACCGTCAACCCAACACCACCATGCCCACTAAACCATGTCCCTAAGCGCCTCATCTACACGTCTTTTAAATACCTCCAGGGATGGTGACTCAACCACTTCCCTGGGCAGCCTGTTCCAAGGCCTGACCACTCTTTCAGTAAAGAAATTTTTCCTAATGTCCAATCTAAACCTCCCTTGATGGTTATCATGCTTCTCAATGACAAATTACTTTTTTGCTAAAGTGTGGGGGGTTTGTGTTTTAGGGGTTTTTTGTTGTTTTGTTTTGTTTTTTTTTTTTTTTAAAAAAGCCGGGGTGGGACCCTTAAAAAAAATTTTTTTTTTTTTTTTTTTTTTTTAGTGCGTGTATATATATTTTAAACCCCCCTTCATTTCTAACCAGACTGTTTCAGTGTGACCAGAAATCCTTAGTGTGACCATTTGAGTGCCATCTAGGTTTTTTTAGACAGCGTATTTCTGCTCAGGGCATGTGGGGGGGAGAGAAGAAAGGAAAATGATGAAACTTGTGCTGCTTCCAGCACTCTCTAGGTTGAGGAGAAACGGCTGGAAGAACTTGAGTTACATGGAAAGTTTGTTATTGTGACAAAGCAAACATGATACAAGACTAGTTTTTCCAGAGGATTCCGGGAGTGTTGATACGTCAAACATAACGATTCTGAAAAACAGCACTGCACTATTTCTCAACACCAAGCATTTTCTTGTGTTTGGGGAATGAAGATGATCTGGTGTCCTAGTAAAGCTGGACATTTTAATTCCTGTTCCTTATTGGAGATGTAAACTGGCTGCAAATTATATGATTTGATCAGGAGAAAGCCAAAGATGTTCTCCCAGCTGATGTGAATGGGAGTTGGCTCTCGAATTAGGACAGCTGCTCTGTTCACATCATGGTATTGAAAACTTTGTCTGGATTGCCTTGATCACAATACCTTCTTGCAACAGTATTGGTTATAATTAACCCAACCTTGAATTGCAAGTTTGGTTTATATAAGCGGCTACAGTTCAACAGCTTGTCCAAATACTGTGTTGGAAGTCACTGAAAACAGAGGTTCTCAGTACTTTGTAGGCTGCAGATACCACAGGTCAAGCTTTTTCGTCAGTATTGACATGTCTTATCCTTACAGACGGGATAGCTGCAAAAATATGGCAGAACAAAAATTCAAACAAGTTCTCAAGCAAAGCTGCTATTAAACTTCAGCCAAAAGAGTTGAATTTACTTTGGTTATTTCTTGACTGAATTGAATTGCTCCTCTAAGTGAAGTGTCAAGACATTCAGAGCATGCTAAATTTAAGAAACTTCATACCAAGAAAGATAATGTGGGGTCTGAGAAGAGAGGAACAAGATCAGTGTTCTAGTCTCTATGCAAGTTCTTTAAGGTAGCTTCAGAAAAATAGTGGCACTTGCCTTAAAAACAACAAAGCCCAGTATGCTTGCCGTAGTTGGTGCTGCGAAAGGAGGTGTTCTGATGGCATTAGAAGAATGTATGGGAGGAATAAGAACGGGGTCGAAGTGGCGTTGCAAGGGTGGTGTTCTGTCGGATCAGCTAGTTCTTCGGCTACAGCGATGCAGGCAGCCTATAGCTGCATCCTTGAGGCACCGCTTAGCACCGGAAGGTAGCAAATGTAATTTGGTTTCCTTGATGTTTTAGCTCTGCTCTTGTTTGGGTCACAGCCCTGTACTGCTGCCAGTGATGAGCAGAAAATAATGCGGGGATGACAGAAACTTTTAAAACAGCAAGTTAAACAGCAAATTCCCATAATAGCTAAAAATACTGAAGGAGCAACATCTTCTAGCACAGAACAGCTAATATCCAAATTAGTATTGAAGTATAGGTTTATCACTGGTGTTCAGCTTTGATACTTGAGGATTCATGTTTCTTCAGCTTATTTTTCCATTTAAAATGGAGACTTATGAATTCTGAATTATATTATGAATACATGAATTCTGAATTATTCCCACATGAATTTGAGGATTGGTATTTGTACAAATGCTGTGAGCATTGAGGCTTTGTAAAAGGACTAGCTAGGTCTGCTTAGACCGGAATGGAGTATTACAGGATAGATTGGATGGGTTGCAGGTAATGTAGCAACTTCTGTTTGGTTCTAGACTGGAGCTTGTGTTCGTAAGTGCTGAAATGCAGTCTCAAAATGTGTAGTAGTAAGAGGGTTGTAAGCAGGTGAGAGTCTTCTGCATCTTGCCCTCCCAGCAGTAAAGAAACTTAATGTAACTTAATGGAGGAAAAAAAAAAAAATCACCAAGTAGACTACTGATCCCTTTAGGCCCTAAATTTAAAGCTTGTGTTAAAGAAAAGCAATAGGCTCATAAAAATGAGCCCAAATAATTTAAGACTGTGTACAAAACCACCTTACTGAACCCACGGCATGATTTGGACTGGTTTCTGTACAGCCCTTGTTATCTGGAGGTCTTACATAAAAAGCTGTCTATTCTCATTTCTCCTCCAGATGACCTCCTGGAGCTCCAAAAGTCATCAGTCTCCTTCCATGAGGTGACTGTTCACATCCTTTTCACCGGATGTTGCTTTCTCAAGAGACAGTCAGTCACTCCTGTTTCTGAAACAAACAGGACCTGTCTTGTCTCGGCTCAGTCCCACCTTCTGTGAGGCACTAGATTCTCTTGAAAGGGTGCCAGAAGATTGTCATTTGTTGGCAATGTGTTGTCCTTAATCCTCCCACAGTTGTGGCTGTAAGATGCCTATTTCTCATTCTGATACACATTGAAGCTATATTAGATTTGGAGCCTAAAGGACATGACTATTTTTTCCTTGGTTAATGTCTTCAGAAAGAATGGTTGCATCATTTTGTTGTCCATTTAAATTGCCCAGCAGACCAATTCCCTTTGCCTTTCCCTGTGCTTTTAAAGGAGATGTCACCTCTTCTTGGCCTCGCTCAAGGAGACTGCTGTGAGAGATTGGTCTTGGGTTTCCGGATCCTTGAAAAAGTGATGCTTGAGTGAGCCAAAGAACTGAATCCCTGAAGCTCTTGGAGCAACTATGGCAGCTGCTTGCTCGCTGAACCAGTGCCCAAAGCAGCACCACTGTTATCAGCCTTCTCCTTGAGACTGATTGCAAGTGGGTTTGTGAAGGGAATCCTTCCAGTGCTCAGAAGGAAACAGTGTTATCAGGCTGTTCATAAGGAACAGGCTTGGCTGGTTCTTTGCTAACTCCCAAGCCACTGTCTTTCTCTAGGAAATAATTCCTTTGCACCACTAGTAGTTTTGACAGTCTTGCTCTGGAGACTGCCTTGCTGAATATGGCTGTGGCTTCCTCTCGCTGGTCGGCAAAGAATAAAACGTAACGTGACCTTTGGCTGTAAGGGCATGCATTTCACCCAAGGTTGCTGTTACAGGCGGTAAACCTGAGGAGCTGAGCCTGCATGCGGGGCTCTTCATGGACGATGAGCTAACTCTGTTTGTTCCACCTCCCCTCCAGAACTGTCAAGTAACCCATCTCTGGCTTCGATCCTCATCCCTGCTCATGCCCGGAACCAAGCAGCTGCTTCAACCCCTACAAACGCTACAGCGGCCTCAGGTGAGAACGTGCGCCTGCCTGCCTCCCTCCCCACCCTCGCTCCCCCTGCCCAGGCACCTTCCCTCTGCTGTGGTCCGTGAGCCACCTCAGCCCTCAGGGTGAACGGGGAGGAAGGGTTTGTTCCAGCATCACCTGAAACTTGCTCTTGGTAGGTGGTCATTTGGGTGCTAGCTGTGGTCACCAACCCAAATCCTAACCCAGGGCTGTTAGTCTCCACGTTCAACTGTTTAGTTTGTTGTTCTCTCTCGCTCAGACTTCCACTACTAAAAAAATCATTACCTCCCCTGTTTTTTAGCAGTCCTTGTGGATTGGTTTGCACGTAATTTCTGAGCTCTCAGACAGTCTGAAGTTAATACTGACTTGGAGCATGAGTTTGTGATGCCTAGGAAGAGAAGAAACGGCTAGCTTCAGTACACATGGCCTCTGTGGAGCATGGATGGAGAGTATTTCTCCCCAAAGGCAATAGCACTTAAAAGTCTGGTTAGGGAGTTCAGTCAGTGTGCTCACTGCCTCATCTAAGTAGTTGCAGTTGCTTCTTACTGAGTTTGCTTGTGTCATCTTCGGGCACGAGGCAGATGCTTTTGGGTTTTGGCCAGCACTGAGTGAATTTTTTTTTTGCCTCTCATGCTCTCTCAAGTTTCTGTCAGAAACCTTTTAAAAGCTCACTGTTGGCCTGTAGCCACTCCATATTGTGTTCTGTTGCCAGTGAAAGCTTAAAAGCTGGGTAATACCAGTTGGGAGACTCCCAGAGAAAATCCTAGGTGCTGCAGGATGTGGCAGAGGTGATTCAGTACGTGGCACTCTTCCTCTGAGTCAGCCCTGAGTCAGCACAGCAGCCGGCTGTCTCGGGGCTTGGGCAACCAAAGACAGGCTGCAAAATAGGTGTGCTTCCATACGTATCCTGCATGCCACGTCCGTCCTATTTGACAAGGGCTGTGACCCGTTTTTGAGGTGCAGGGCACTTACTCAGTGTAAGATAGCTGATAAGGAGAAGCCCTTATTACAAAGGTATTCTTGAAACGTGCAGGAAAGCGTTTGTAGGTTGATGTGCTGGACAGTTGTCTGATATCTGATGTGCTTGGTCCAGCTGGTGCTGTATAGAAAGCATTTTCATACTCCAGGACAGACAGATGCACCCGGGTTTGAAAGATGAGGCTTCTCTCGGAAAATGTAGTAGCAGTTGATAAGGGCTACAGCCTGTACAATTTACATGCTCTGAATTTAGGAGAAAGCAAAATTGCTATTTTCAAATTTAGTATGTTTTTCATACGCTTGGCAGTATTTTACTAATAGTCATATTCTCTGTTTCCCTTTTATGTGCATCTGTTGCTCAACAACGAGTGAGGGGAAAAAAAGCAGATAAAGTAGTAAAAGTGATTGAAAAACTACAAAATACAAACATGAAAAATTATTTTAAGCCCTTCTGAAAAATACTTTTCACTTAATGTCCCTTTCATGCCTTTTAAGGAGCTCTCTTTGCCAAGATATGAGTCTTGAGGAATTAATGGGGTTAAGAAGTCTGTTTTCACCCAGCACTTTCTGAGAGTTCTTGTGGGGGGAAGATGCATTAGGCTGAGTCCTAAATGTGTCCCAAATGTGAAGTATACTAAAAGAAAAACCAAAACCAACCCCACCTTACTGATGTCAACATTTTTAAACCTCCTGTCTGCAAGCACTGCACTGAGTTGGGATAGAAACTCTTATTCATAGTTCAAAACCCCAAAAAAATCCTTGTATCTTGGAAAGAAATTGTGAAAATTAAGTTCAGTATTGGGCAAGACGCAGCTTTGCGTTTCTGCAGCACAGCTGGTTTGTAGTTTCTTACTCACGTGGAGTTCTCACAACAGGCAGTGGGAATTTCATCAGAGTTGTGATTTTTAGGATTAGATCTTGTATGAGGTTATGTTAATCTGTTGTGCTTTGCATGCTACACCTAGTAGGAGATTTTCATAGAAGGGGTCCCTTCTCTCCCTATACCCCCTGCACATCGCAAAGCACTAAATTTCTAGTTCTGCAGTAACTGCTAAAGGAGCATGGGAGCAACTCTCCCACCTAACGCAGGGCATCCCAATAGGCAGGAGGCTTTTCTGCAAATTGTTTGCTCATGTGACTAAGCAGTACAAGTCCAGAAACTACTGTTTTGAGTGGTGATGATGCTACAAAATGTAGCTCTCAAGGCAATTCAAAGGGCAAAGCAAGTTATATGTAACTGTAATCCACATTATTAGTGTGTAACTTTTGTCTCCCTCTAGCAAGCAGAACTGATACTGGGGTTCAAGTGTCCGCTGTTATGTCCAGCATAGTGGCCTACTCTGTAAGCTTGAGGCGTAGGGGCACAGACGTGGAAATGCAGTGTACTAGTTCATCACTGTAGATAATCCAGCTGGCTGTTCTTACCTGCCTGCAGACAGTTACTCCGTTTTCATAGGTGTCATGTTGGTATGCAGCCATGTCAGAATCTCAACTTTTTGATAAGGTGTAAAGCACTGCTTTTTATCACGCACCAAGGCAGGGTCATAGTTAGAGAATAACTAGAAAAATGAGATCTATTTGTCCGAAGTCTAGCAAAATAGTGTTTGCCAGGAGACTTGGCAGTGGTGCAGCGTTAAGAGATGGAAAGATTGGCTTTTCAACATACCAGTGCAGGTTTCGTCAAGCCAGCAATACTAGCCCTTGTGCTAACCAATATGACACACATCCTCATTTTTAAAAGTTATCCAAAACGAGTAGTTTCTGTTAACTGATAGATTCACAGTGGTGATTTCCACAGCCCAATGCAACAGTAATCCTGTGATCGTGATCTTAAATGCAGGGGAATTACTATTGTAGGTAATTTTTGAGTGTTAAAAAAATGTATTTGTTGTAAATCTCCTCTTCTCTTGAGGTGTGAAGCTGGACTCACTGTACTAATAGAACCTGGCTTTGCAGTGGGAGTATTGCTGCACTGGCATTAGTAAATTCACCTAAACGTTTGTGAGAAATTCTTTGTGACATTAGTGGCACGTCTAAAGCAAAGTGGAGGAAAAGGAACATGGGAGTTATTGGCCCCTGCTTGAAATGGTGTGCTAGCTTTCTGTGAATTATGCTGGCCATTGATTAAAAATGCCAGTGCAGCTTTATTCGTGTGGATGCTGACTTGATCCAGCTGGAGGAGGAGGATGGTTTCACAGCCATGTGGCCACAGCATCTGAGAGGGGAGCATGCACACCAAGCCGAAAGCATGTCTGCTCGTGTGACTTTCTTCCTGGATCAGCCAGCAGCAGTAGTTACCTCTCTGTTAGCGTTAAAATGGGAAGAGCATAATTGCCATCTGCAGGGGAGTTGTGCCAGCAGGGATGGTGGGGTCATCGTCTTAGGCATCCTGCTGTGTTGATCCCATGTAATCCCAAATGCGATGGTGTGCCTGAACTTTCAGCAGCAAAACAGATTAGAGATGGTGTTACCTGTCAATGTGTGGCAGTTGAAAAAGACCACAGTGCTCCATAAAATAAAAATCTAGTTCATTTACAGTATTCCCATTGAAGGAATTTTGAAAAACTTTAATTCCTTAACCAGGAGAAGAGGGGCAAGCAATTTGCTCCGGCTTCTGCAAGCTCAGCACAGGGATGAGTCCATGACAGTTAGAGGAGTAAAACTTGCGTGTTTCAGGCTTGCCAGTTTTGCTCTGAGCCCTGGATTTCTACATCCATAGGCAGGCAATAGGAAAAACGGGCTTTTCTCCTCTTTCCGCTTGTCGTCTCAGCTGTTCTGTGAGGACTCCCAGGCTGGTGGTAGTTTTGTTTCTGTATCTTTGCAGATGAGCAGCACAGTCTGTCAGCATTACAAATCCAACCAACTAATGCTGGCATTAATTAGTGCTAATGGGCTTTCTCAGACTGAGTTGGCATCTCTGTCTCTCCCTGAACTGTAGCCCCATCTTTCCTTTCCGGGAGGTTTCTAAGAAGTGTCATGTACCCTCCAAGAAAGCTGAGGCATTCCTCAGAGGGAGAAGCTGAATTGGAGGAGGTGCTCCACATTGATGAAAGATACTTTTGCCCTCTGTTTGGAAGAAGTTTTGGAAACGGCTGACACTTAAGCCCTAATGTGGTTTCACAGGCAGGTGTCAGGTGGGTAGTTTAGGGCAAAGAGGCTGCCCTGACCTCAAGGCGCTGTCTGCTGTGTAGTCATCTGTCCCATACCAGAAAGCTGCATGTCAGCTCCTAGCTTCGCTCCCCAGCAGGGCTTCCACGGTGGCACAGGCCATGGCTTTGTAAAGCAGATGTCTTAGCAACATTGCTGAAGGCCTAGATTTTCTTCTCTTATGCCCAAATACTGATTTCTCATGGTGAGGAGGAGTAAGTGAATGTCCAGAGACCCTCATACTCCAGTTGTGCTCTTTTTCTGGTGCTGGAACAAGCCCCTCTTTGTTCCTGAAATGTCTTGTCGATGCGGAGTCAAAGAACAAGCTGGAATGTCAAAATACTGCATTTTCTTGCAGGATTGGAGGCAGTACAGCCTTGAGCAGGCTCTGCTCTCTGTCCCAGCCTGGGTGGATTTCTGTATATTGTTGTGAAAAGCCCCACGTAAATGGTCTTGGGCTGTGTCACCTGGTTTATTTCCTTTTTAGCATGTGGCATATATATTTCTCAGGAACTCCCCCATTAGAGTGATGATAGAAAAGGAGCATATGTTATATATGTTACATGAAGTAGCTCCATCCCCTCCTCTTTTTTCTTTATCTCTGCTCAGTAGCAATGTAATGATAACGACTTCAGCCTCTGCTGTCTTCAGGAATAGGAGATCAAAAGGCACATTTCATTTCAGCAAATGAAATACAAGCACTTTTTGTACATATACAGAGAAATCCTCTGCCAACAGTACAGACTCCAGCTGGACTGCTTGCATCAGACACGGCAGATGTTGCATTAACTGGAGTTTATCCATACCTGAAAATTAATCTAGAACAGGCACAGTCAGAGTTTAAAGTGTGGAAACTATTACCTGTCTGGCTGGGTCGCTTTTGATTTCCATGGTCATCACTGGTCTGCATGCATGTGGGATTTGAGAATTGCTCCTTCAGGGTAATTCTCCACGTAGGAGGGCATCTCTCGCGTGCAAGGCTAGCTTTCCAAATTGGTACTGTCATCATGCTGCCTTAGTGCTTTTACTGCATGCGCTTTTTTTATCATGGTGGTGTCATTCCTTTGTGAGGGAGGGGTTGCAATTAATTTGGGGTGAGAGGAAAAGGAATGGGAAACTCCCAGAGCAGGCGTCTGGCATCCTCTGCCCACAGGAGGACTTCCCTTTCTTCCCACATGCTCCTCACAGCATTTCCTTTTCAAATGGGCATCATCCTCTCTTCCCACTTGTCTCTTGTATTCCTGGATGCTGTTTGTTTGATTTCCTATTTTTGTTGCTGTTGTCTGTGTATGTTACTTAATTTGTCACTCAGCAAGCGCTGCCCATCTCTAGACTCTCAATTCATTTCATTGCCTTTGCTCATGGCTGCACTTCCAACTGTGGTCAGGTCAATGTGGCAGGAGAGGAGAGGGATTTCGTTACTAGGTGATGTAGAGCACTGCCTGGCTGCGTTGCCTCACGAGCTCTTCTGTGTTGGAGAAGTATGACTGCACCCCTACTGCCCACCGGTTGTATTTTGTTGTGTCTATTGTTTATGCTAGTCATACTGTCCTTCAGTCTGAGGTCAGTAAACCTATTCTTTCTTTTTATAAGCCCTTTTCCCCATGTCTTTCGAATGCACTGTTTGCCCAGTCTGCCCCCTTCTGTACTGAGATAATAAGTCCTTTCTTTTTTTTTTTTTGCTGTTGCAGGATTGATAGCTTTGCAGTTAACCTTACTTAAATTAAGTGGGAGAAATGCATGACGGTCTCTTGTAGAGAGAGACATCACCTAATATCCTTCCCCCCCCCATTCCTGTATTTATTGTGTTGCGTATTTTATGTGTTTAACCGTTCACCCACTTTCCTTTTTGTGACCATGCTAATTAGATACGGCATAGGATGGTTCCAGATGAAGTCGGTGCATTTTTTTTCCCCTACCAATTCTTCTAATACTAAGAAAAATTTTTTGGGAGAAAAAACCTGATACGTGTGGCCTATGAAAACACAGTTACAGTGAATTTCCTTTTGGTATTTCTTTGCAAACCCTGTGGTTTTTTGGAATGCACTGTGACACATGCCACGATCCTGTGACTTGTCTCTCTGCAGAGCACTGTCCTGCCCGCAGAAGAGAAGGTGTTGGAGACCATTTACTGCAGAGACCCAATCCTCTAACAATGTCGTATGCTTGCATAAGCCTCGTTACTGGCTTCAGGCCTTAATGTTAATCTGCTTCAGCAGTTCAGGGGGTGGTAGATCCAACTTTGGTTGAGCAACACAGAATAAAGCAGTACAATTGAAAGACGTTTTCTGAGGCAACAAGTGCGTGAATTACACATTAACACACAAGCTGTTTCTGCCACGGAAGCAGGCTCGTCGTGTTCATTGTCTGCGTTCATTCACACAATTAATAGATGCCTTTGTTACAAGAAGGCCCAACAATATGAAACTTCGGCACCAACATGAAGCCTTGTAGTGGCCACGGATACTTGATGCGTTAGCTTTGGCGATGCTAGTGTGCCTTGTCTTGCAGTTAGGGTTACTGGAATGTAATGTGGGCGACCTACCACTCCGCGAGCAATGTTACATCCTGCAAAATCTGCTGGAGCCCAGCTGGGTGTTCGCGTGCCGGCCTGCAACCCTCAGCCCTTGAGGCTGCTTTTGTCCTGCTTAAAGACCATCTTCCCACCCTCTCCCCAGACCGAACTGTTCCATCTGCACCCCCTGAAGTCAGGAGAGCATCTTAACCAAACAGCACCTCGGTGGCAGTTGTGGGGTTCCCTGTGCGGAGAATGTTGTAGCTGTTTTTCCAAATGTGTCTGTATTTTGGAGGTAATACTGGTTGTTTTTCTCTCTTCCCTTCCTCTCACCTGTCATTTGCAGATGTTAACGCAGGAGAACGAGTTCAGACCAATAGTGTAGCTACAGCATCAGCCTCCAACTCCACCTGAACCGGTACCAAGCAGCCAGCTGCACAGGAAAAATCACCAGTAATTTGAGTCTTGCTCAGCAACACTGGTCACATTTGGAAAGAAAATTAAAAAGAGGGAAAAAAAAAAAACCAACAAACCAACCAACCTGTTCATTTTAGTGTTCAATTTTTTATTATTATTATTGTTGTTCTTATTTAACCTTGTAAAATATCTATAAATACAAACAGTTTCATTGTATTCTCACTCTGCAGGGTGTCCGGGGCAGGGGACTAGGTGGGGGGAGGAGGGAAAGCGGAGCAATACAACACACCAATGTCTCTCCCCTCGACAATCTCTTCATGTTGGAAGTTTGCTGTTGTGTACTTCAGAACCAGGACTCTTGCCTCATGCCCCCTCCCACAACAGAAAGAAGGAAAAAAGCAAAACAAAACAACAACAAAAAAAAAACCCCAAACCTCATTCTCTGCTGAAGTTCTTTTTTTTTAACCTCTTTTCTTATTTTCTTTTTAAGTGAAGTTTCGGACTTTGATGTAGTGCACAGCTTGAATTTGGTCGGGAGCTTAGCAGGGGTCATTCAACAGAGCTCAGCGTTTCTTGTCAGCGAATCCATATCCCAGGTTGTCTGAAGAACTGCCCCGGCTCGGTATGGGGAGCGGGCGACGTGGTAGGAAAATAGATTGCCGTGGGGTGGGGGGGGAGGGTTTGCCGTGTGTCTAAGGCTTGAACCGCTAGTGGAAGCCTTTCGTTTTAAAAATCAGTGCTAGCGATGAAGAAACCTGCAGCTTCATTATGGGAAAAGTCTTACCCAAGTGGGTTATATATAATATAATACACACACATGCACGAACACAAGCGGTTAGCTTTACTGAAGCAGCTCCTTGGCCCAGCCG